AAGTGACCAGACGAATAAATCGTGCACTTGGTGGTAAGCGACACGCCTGTCTATTACATTTGCAGTGCCACTCATTAATCATAAAGAACTGACAGGCAGTGCCACTGCGCCCGAATTTCTCCCTTCAAAATCGAAACGCAGTAATGCTCACATTACTATTTGGCGGCAGACATAGGACACAGTATACAATATTGATGTGCATTTGCTTCATTCCAATGAAAAAGCGAATAAGTTTGTACTTCACTGGACGACTATTTCATAAGGAATTCCACTGCTTATAAACAAACAAAATCGGCGAAGTAATCAGCGATAGTTTTTTTTATATCAGGTGACGGGACGAACAAGTAGAGCGCGTGACGGTAAGCGCACGCCTGTCCGTAATAGTTGCATTGCCACTCAGAGCTTTAAATTGCAAAGATCTGAGGGGCACTGCCACTGCGCCCGTGACCCTGAGACATAAGTTAATAAGTCCCATGTGCCTATAATTTCACCAGCACCCTTACCCTTCAAAACCGGAACACAGTAATGCTGACATTACTGCTTGACGACAGAAGTAGATAAGGTAGGTAAGTATTCCTTCAGATATAAACGACATACATTTGATACTTAAACAACGCATATGAAATTGCCTACTTTGTATCCAACCATGTCGCCTAATCGCACAAATATCCATTATCTATAACGCAACATTAAGTAACATACTGTCTATAGTTAAGTTATGATAAAGTTATAAAGTTATGAGCAGTGTTATAGTTAACAACACATCAAATATAATGGAGTTAGTATATTCGAGTTCAAAATTCAAAAACCATTACAAAAGACATCAGCGTTATATTATCTCTGTAAAATAATTCTATTTTTAGCTGTACAATGTCCTTTATTTACAAACCTTTTAGTCCGTTTGTTAGTTCACTAAGCCTGTTTATATTTGGCCATTAAGTTAAACTTTTACAGATCTGGTGACGTCCTCTTATGACGTCTTAAAATAATGTGGCGCTAGCACACTAACAGGTTTTCACTTCTTAATTTTTTCCTTTTAAATTCTTGGAAATTTAAAAAAGGGCATTCAAAAATTTGAATGAATAATTTGTTTAGATTAATTTATTTTGCGTGTACAATACAAATTAATATTTTTCAGCATAGATATTGCCATATATTAGTAACTATACTTAATAAATCATTTTTAAGGTATAAGCAATGGGGAACTAACTAATTAAGTAAGTAATCTATTTGGAGTTATGTACGTCCAAAATTATTAAACTGTGTTATTATTCTTAAAAAAAATGGCCCGTACCATGACTTTAATATCTCTAGTCGTTAGCAACCGGTTAAAATAATAGCTTTTCACTGTTTCGTCATTTAACGGAAACTTTTTAATATAATAGTGAAAAGTAGAAAATGCAGTTTTCTCCAAAGTTTGCATTTGCTGTGGTAAGACTTTGTTTTTAAATTTGAAGGTATTTTATTTGCACGATTAAAATTTCCTTTAAATTAGCTTTGTTGTGATGTCAAGTGACTGGACCTCAAAGTCGTGACCATATAAAGAATTTTGTTAAGACCGATACAAGTGAATATCTGAAAGGGCTATGTCGGGCGACTACGGTGGTGAGGTAATATCCAAACCCAACTGCAGTAATATTTGGCGGCTTTGTAATGTTTGTTACAAAGCTGCTGCGCTATGTAGTGTGGTTAATGCCTATCTTGATGAAATGCGACAATTTTACGATTCACCAGTTCTCGTTATTATAAAATTAAAACTTTACTGCCTATTCTTATACGCGCAACAAAATTTTTTTTAATGGCCATAGACAATATAACATTTTATAATATAAAATTTCCTTTTTTGTTTATAGTTGTGATAAAAAACGAAGGACATTTTTTTAAACTCATTAATTATAACGGTGATATTACGTATGATATTCACTGAATAGAGAGAGGACAATGCGAGCACTTATTATAATAACACCTAAAGGAATCCACAACTGAACTCTTTAATATCTTATCAATCAACACATTGATTGCCAAGAACGATCACGGAATGTGACCTCAGTTGACAAATAGTCAGAAAAACAGTCAGACGTTTCAATATATCATTCAACAGTAAACGATTGTGACAACAAATTAAGTCTTTGATAAAAGTTAACATCTTCGTGTAGTGAACTATGACCCTCGTCTTTTGAATAAAATACTATTGTTTTTAGTTTTTAATAAAAATACAATCACCTACGTTAAAAAGCTATGTACTTAAGATATTTATGTAACCATCAAAAATTATAAAAATTACAACAGCGTAAAAAAACGTAATTTATGTGCTACACCTATTTAAAAAACTTGGGCTCCGTTCGCGCAATAATTTACTGCGGCGTCTCACCACCACCAAGTGGGTGCTTCGCCGCAGGTCATGAGTACTACTGGGCTGGCACTTTCCTTTTCTGGTGGCAAATACGCATGCCCATGTTTGGAGCCGTTGTACCCATGCAAAATTAGTGAATACAGCCTTAAATGAAACTTTCCGGATCATAAATGGCTGTATTAAATCGACCCCGGGAAGATTGCTGTACCCACTAACTTGGATATCTCCGCCAGACATCCGAAGTAATGTGGTCCGAAGTAATCTTACGAAAATTGGCCATCGACACTCAGCACCCTACGCACGATCACTTCACAATGCAACACAGACTTAGGAGCCGGAAAAGCTGTGTCAAATGTAGCGATCCTCTGCGCATTGAGCCGGTTCAGGCGAGGTGCAACCTTTGGCGGGAAAGAGTATCATCTACGTTTGTCTCGCCTTCTGAGAGTCTTCCTCCTGGACACGAATTGCCTTGGCCGATCTGGAGGTCTTTAAATAGGCTTCGGACTCAGGTTGGTCGGAGGAAAGACAATTTGTTCAGGTGGAGTTTTTCGGATGGTTGTAACCTGGATTGCTTGTGCGGTCATCATATCGTGCCCTGCGTGCCCTAACGCCTGCACGCTTGAGTATTTAATGACAGCTGCTAGTGACGCGGTCGGCGTGGCTCAGTTCTGGGCCACTATAGTATAATGTATGTCATCGATACGATAAGAAAAAGAAGAACTTGGCTTCCCCATAGTTCTGTCATTAATATTAATTATTTAAACAGGTGATTTACGTTTGACGCCAACTTCATAGCCACTCCTTTATAAGATTTTTTTTTTAAATGGTCTGTTTTTACTTTTTAGTTTTCCACACTCACGGTCGATTGACAACATTCGGCCGCCAATCGTTTCGCACATATATTTTATAAATTATAACTTCAAAATTTCCGCCTTCTCCTCATCTTGACGTCAATCGTAATCTCGAAAATAAAAGACACAAACGATATGCAGTCTCAATTTACCGTTTTCCTACTCTAATATTAAAATTCCTCAAATTCTTAGAATATAGAATACGTTTATTTGTTACGTAACAAGGAAGTAGGTACCTATATTACGTTAATATGTTTTTGGAGGCCCCCTATTAAGGTAATAAAGAGGTAGATAACCTACTAGGTATTTCCCAGATTCAATAATATAAGTAGAACGAATAGTGATACTAGTTTACGATGACGTGGATATTAAAAAGTGATACCGAGAAAATGTATGGGAATATTATACATAATGTCAGTTCAAGAGAAGTGAGTGTTGGTAATTACGAAGTCGGATAAGTATTATTAATATAATTATAATATACTATGTATATATTTGGTGAAATTACAGGCATACGGGACATGTCAACTTATGTCTCGGGGTGATGGGCGCAGTGGCAGTGCCCCTAAGAACTTTGCTGTTTAAAGCTCTGAGGACACTGCAATTGTTGTGGACAGGCGTGTAGCTTACCATCAGGCGCACGACTTGTTCTCCCGTCACTAGACATTATAAAAAATAAAAAATATTGATTTTACAATTACTAACGCAAACACTAGGTGTTCGATGACAGAAAATATTGAACCCCCTTTACCTATAGGTTCTCGTGCACGTGGTTGCATGTAAGTGCCATGTTTTATTACTGTAGTAGGTAAAAAAGTTCACACACTTTGCAGATGACAACACATGACAAAATATTTACATTTTGTAACAATTCGCATTTGATAGCAACGTATTGATTTATGTTTTGCATTTTCGACTTTATGTTTCTGTAAATACAACGTGTATTGTTACATAACAGATACAAAATATGACTTACCTACGTAATGGCATCGTATTTTTATGACACTCACGAGACACAAAGAGAAGTAGTGCCAAGATAATATTAAAAGATCCTTGACAACAACGTACACTTTTTGTTGAGTAACGAAAATATTGATCATCATATAATGTGAATAAGTTATAACTAATAATCCAAGTGATTCTAAGTAACAAAACACACAGATGGATAGGTATAGGTACTTCAGAAAAAATTGTAACAATACAACTTTATTTGAAACTTGTCATGCGCGAGAAACTTAATTGTGACATCTACATTTCTTTGTACAGGGATAACTCAATAAAACAACGTTTGGTTAGTTAAAATGTGCGTGCGATACATTTTTCACACCGATATTTTGCGTCATAATGGCAGGAGCGGATGGGTCGCACGCAGCGCACCTTTATTTTCAATATACCACAATAATAATTTACCCGGATATAAGTATGCCACATACCGCAATCAGTTGATGATTATGAAAAGCTGTATTGTATGTCCAAGTAATAAAAGCAAAAAAGACAAAACGGTCCCTACGACATTTACGATTTTATGTCATACCTAAGTTGGACATAGTTCTCAAATTCAAACTATTGTCTAATCTACCTTTATATCTCTACCTTTTTAATATAATGAATTTAACTCACTCATATAGCGAGTTCGGCACGAGCTCCCTACAGCTTAAAATGTAAAGGTAATCCGAAAATAAATAACTTTTATGTTAAGCAGGACAGAGATGTGACAAATTGCACAGCATCTCTTGCGGTTCCAAGAAGGATTAATTTCCTGTGCACTGTTTTACAATTTTTTTCTTTTGTTACAGACATAGCAATCACTGCCGAAAAGGAAATAGAATTCTACGACAAAGGGATCAAGGCAGGCAAAGTCGATGTACCCAAAGGAAAACTTACTGCACTCGCCTACGATGCTGTATACAACCTGCTCCTATTTGTCGACAAACACAGCGACAATGCGTCCATATTCAGTTATAACTTTACGTCGCAAAACACACGCTCATTAGTTAGAAAGAAGTTCTATGAACAAATAGAAGGAATTGCATTTGATCCTCTAACAGGAAGATTGTTCTGGACTGACATCGATGCGAAGGGAATATACTACAAATCTTTGAAAGGAAATGAAAAGGGGTCTTTAAAAGGAACCGATGATTTTGGCACCTTACTGTTCAATGTTAGTGAACAGAATCCAAGAGACATTGCTGTAGATAGCTGTAGAGGGTATGTAAAAGTGTTTCAATGATGAAGTATGTTAATTAACACATAGTTCCGCACATTAATAATACATTAAGGTAGAATATTCACTGTACTTCCGTAACAAACAGTGATATTTAATTCCAGGTACATTTATTGGACCAACATAGCTTATAAGCGAGCATCCATAATGAAAGCACGTCTCGACGGAACTCAGGGAATACCAGACGTTGTAGTTAATACTGAAATCTATAAACCAGTAAGTATAGCGATCGATCAACGAGAGCGAAAGATGTACTGGGCTGATGACGAAGAAGGAATTCATTACGCCATATGGAGTGCAGATCTCGACGGTAAAAACAAAATACTAATGTCTAAAGGCATCCAACATCAACCAAATTCTTTGACTGTATCAAAAGACAGTATTTTTTGGATTGATTGGGACCAGTCTACAGTTTGGAAATTGCCAAAAATAGCTGAAAAGGTGTCTGCACCTGAAGCTGTAATCATCTTCAGCGGGTCACCCTTTGGAATAGTTGCGAACTATCCTATTGATGAACAAACGCAGGATATCCCTGAATGCAACAAACTTCGAGAGCTGTCCCAAAACAGACCTGTAATAAATGGCTCTATAGATGTTCCTCTAGACGCTGGTATTTACTGCTTGCACGGTTACCAGATCGATAGCATGACTTGCAAATGTACACAGGGTTACACCGGTGATCGGTGTGAAATTCCTATCTGCCATAATTACTGTTTGCGAGGTCAGTGTAAGCTGACTGCGGATGGTGAAGCTAAATGCAAGTAAGAAACATGCTTTAATAGTTTTGTACAATTTAATCAATTACTGCCTAACTGTTACCTAATGAATTGTTTCTTCAACAGGTGTGAAAGTGGGTACACCGGAGAACGTTGCGATGTAGAACTATGTTTGCATTACTGCCTCAATGACGGTCAATGTTCAGTCAGTCCAAAAGGAGAACCTAGTTGTGCTTGCTCTGATCGTTACGAAGGCAGGAGATGTGAAACACGAAAGGTGGATAAAGGCGAACCAACTCCAGTGATTGCAGATACGGATAATACACAATCTGTTTTCGAACCCAGAGCGAGGCAAGGGGAGCCTGGAGTGATACCTGAAACTACTGCAATAAGCACAGCAAGTCCTACAGTGGGAGCACCCAATACAGAATCTTGCAAGTGAGCATTTTTTAACCAGATAAAAGTTTTGGCGTTTTTACAGAGCTGTTTTTTAACGTTTTTACGAATTAATTTACGTTTTTTATAGAAGATGATTTCGGAGCAAACCTTTTATTTTTAAACTTCAGCCTCCTCTAGGTACTCAATTCTATTTTTCCAGTTGCACCTCAGAAACTAAAGCCATACCAACAACTAAATCTGCCGATGTTGGAGATTTTCTACCGACCAGTGATTGTGATGGATGGGACCCCATTAGGGACCCCATATTGATGTTGCTTGGTATCATTTGCGGATTCCTCTGCATCGCTTGTACATTCCTTATGACCAAAATTATGCAGTTGAAGAAACGACCAAGGTAACAATTCTAATATTTTGCGACAGTTTAATACAATTGCACCCTTGCCGAAGTATGTGAATTTACTTTTCTGACCACTAAGAGAATATTATAACCCCATAAATTTCAACACAATGATCCTAGGAACAGGGCAAGGCAAATTTTTCGCCGCCAACATATTTCTAGTGGCAAGGTCCTCTTCTTTCGTGTATCTATTTATTAATATTAAATGTATAGAACAATGCAAGTGACACTAAGTTCAAAATCAATAAACCGAATTCTTTTATTATTTTAGGATTAAGAAACGCATCATTGTGAACAAAAACGTAACTCCGCTGACTGCCCGACCGGATCAATGCGAGATTACTATAGAAAATTGCTGCAACATGAACATTTGTGAAACTGTAAGTATCCACATTAATATTGAGTATTGACCAGTTAGTAGAAAGCGCTTGAGTCGCGGCTTTGAAACAAAAACGTTTAACTGCTACAAATTTTACCAAGGTCTGAACAATAAAACATCAAAGCGCACATTGTTTTAAACTTAGCTGGTTCCACAGCTGTGCGTACGGTAGTACGGCATACGTAGAATTCGCCAAGCTCTGTTTTTTTCATATTTTTTTCATTGTACATACTCTGCAGTCTCTTGCGTTATTTTCGCTTAAATTGGTATACCTCTACTAGTTAACTTGTTATTGGTTTCACAAGTCTGTAAATGTAGTGTATCTTACAACCATGGAACTTGTTTATTAGGGATGCACACATTTTTGTATCCACATAGTCTTTGTTAACTTGTCAAACAATCACACACTGGAAACCATACACTGAAACAAATTAAGCAAAACAAAAAGCTTTCATAAATAAATTAAAAATGACTGAAACATACTTTTCGAGGTATCCCTAGTGTGGGGCTGAGTGTGTGCGTTATTTTTAACATGGTAACCCTTAAATAGTTACGCATAGAGGTTACTGTTTATTAAAAAAGCTACACACGCATGCATTTCCAATAAAATGCCTACCTTTGGAGTTGATTTTACATTGTTCAAGCCCTTGTTAACATTTTGCATCTTTACTAGTGATGATGACCTTGACTAGATAATACTGAGTATGCATATGGAACTAAAATTTCATTTACATTTTTAAACTATTTTCATTTGTGTATTGTTTTCTATCTACCTAATGTGTATGTAAAGGCGGACAAGTTACTTTTGGACCCGTGATTTCTGAACCCGAAATGGTGACGCTATTGTTGAATTTGAACATTAACGTATGTCAGTCAAGGATAGTATAATAAGACAATTTGTTTAAGTTCACACAAACATAGTGACTCGGTTTATATGCGTATACGCCGCACAGTGCGCCATTTACGGATGCACACATTCGCATAATTTCGCGGTGTACTCGAGTTCTCGCATGCGCCATTCATTATAGAATGGAAGCGATCGCTCGTTTACAACATTTAATATATTTGTCTCTTAGGATATGAAACTATTTTTCCGGATTTAAATCGCGTATATTTGTTTTTCAAACAAGCCAACTTTCGGGCCCTTTGCAGGTCACGGTTGACTTTATTCATTTCATTTTAGTCTGTGACTACGGGACACGTAAAGGGCCCGAAACGTTGGTGTTTGAAAAAACAAATATATGCCATTTAAATCCCGAAAAATAGTTTCATTTCCTATGTGTAACAATCGCGAAAACCTAAGAACTCGATATATTTCCCTCTATCAAATTTTTTCATTTATAAATGTATCTGTAGACGTTCAAGTTCGAATGGACAGAAGACGTTAATGGTCTGGATCTTGCTCTTCTCAGGTTCGGTAGACAGTATGAGTTCGGCATAAAACACTTGTTCAAAGCTCAACTGAAAACTGCCTTTATTGCTCAAACCGATCCTACTAATATAGGGTCAGTCGGTCTCCAAACTAGTAGGGGTATTAGCGAGGAAGTAGGTTGGCGCGATGCGCAGAGTGTGGAGGCGGTGACTCCCGAACGAAGCGGCGTGCGAGTTGCGGGGTGTGGTAACGTCGTTCGATGCGGCGGAGCGTCCTTATTGTTCTGTATATATAAACTCGCATTTCATTTCTATTTCATGCCGTAATCGAGATGCTGGTATAAGAATGATTATTGTGCTGTACTTAAATATTGATATTTAAGTACTGTACTTGACAAAGGTTATTTCAAGATAGCACGACAATACTGTGATGAATACCATAACTTTTTTAAATTATGTTTGCAACACCGATTGCACTTAGTTGTACCTAATGTAACAACCCTACGCTCCGAGTGACGTGTGCACTGACGCGCCATACAGGCGGGATTTGAACTACTTGTCTTATTTATACTATGGTAAAAGGAAGTAGTTCTTTAAAAATTCGTAACATTTCGAGGGTCTAAATATAGCGTGTGAGCCTTTACTTTTTGGACCGTTTGTGCATTAATCTCTGTTCATGCAGGTTCAAAAACTCCAGGGCGACCTCATCGACTTTTAGTTTCTCAGTTTCACCTCGCGGTTAAAGGTTTTACTTTTATGACATATTGCTTGCCAAGCGTATTGGGTTTACGTGCACTAACATTGTTTATAAATTCTTCGCTTTTTGTCATTAACATACAATTAATGTGGCTTGCATTTTTTTATTTGTTTGGTGATTTCTGAGTACTTACTCACTTATGCGTCAGTTTTCTTAACTAAAGAAAATCGTCTTACTTTCGTGGAAAAGGCATATACTAAGGTACTAAGAATAGCTTCTTAAGAAAAAAATATTCAGTACTAGCTATAATATAAAACCCCATTCTGTGTAAAGAACCTAGAATTAATTTGCAACCAAGATATCGCACCGTTATTACAATAGTGTATTAACTCAAAAAGTGTAATTTTTTAAAACAGATCACTCACTTACTGTGAAAACTCTTTCACAGTATTAAAATGTATGTATGGGTTAAAATTTGTTCAAAACATGACACACATCCTCACTTCTCGAATTCCGATCAAAATTAAAAGTGACGTAATATTGGAGGGAATGCTATAAACGTTAGTAAACCATCAACAGTGACTCACGGCGCCATCTTTTAAACGTTTCTTACAATATTGTAACGATAGTTTTATTGACATATAGAGAAACAAATTTAACGTTCAAAAATAATATAATCTTGAATTTCACATATTTTCAGTTACAACACTGTTGTAATAGCAGTGCGATACGTCTAAAGTAATTAAAACCTAATAAGAGCGAAAAATGCTATTTAATATTTGTATTTTAAAGATTTTGTTTTTGCATTAGCAAAATTGAGTTTTAGAAGAAAATGTTAAGTATCACTGATAGAGTCGCTCGTTGTAATATTGCTTCTATTTTTTACACCTTACAATGAGCATTTTGTCTGCTATATGAATATGGTTAAACATTCTATTATTTCCTTCTTCAGCTTACAAATTAATAAGCCGACAATCAGGTCTTAAGCTTCCAATTAGTAATAATCATTTCAATTTCTATATTATTTCCTAGCTTTAAGGCACCATGTACATTGTGCTAAAAATTACTGTGCTAAGGGTGTTATACTCCACACTTAAAAACACTTTTCCGCGCGGGCAGCTTAGGTATTTCATACGATCGTATATATTATAAATTAAAATATATTGGAGTATATAATATAAAATTTGGAAATATTTGCGCGTATTTTTAACGTTTCATTGTTTGATGTTAAAAAAATAAATATAAAAAAAAAATATTTGGATCCATAGATTGTTAGTATTACTAAAACTTATAGAACTATATAAGGAAAGAGGACTAGTGCCCTAGTTAGGCCACACTGTCCCATCTGTCTACTCAACTCACAATGGCGCAGAGTCGAAGCGTCGCGTCGCGTCTTGTTTAGTGCGCCCGGATTACAGTGTGGTCGGCGTCTGGCGTCTTACGCGCGTCGACGCCCGTATTTTCATAACACACATTTGTACCTGAATAATGGGAAAATAGAGATGAATATACTATAGGCGAAAAACATGACGCGTCGCGACGTTTCGACTCTGCACCACTATGAGTTGAACCTTTAATGTTATATTAACTTGAAATAATTTTGTGGTCGAAAATCACAGGTTTTGTAACCCGTGTATTTTTTGAAATGTACCATTCTAACTTGGAGTAAATTGGCATTTTTTAGACAAAATTTAAGGGAAATTGTGCCTAAGCGTTTTTAATTTTTTGTATAAAAAAATGTGTCATCTAAGATAGTACTTCTAGATCGTGTTTACACAATTTCATTAAATTATTATTAGTTAATACGAAAATATATTTCTTGTAATACGAAAGCAAAGAAATCAATTCCCAGACCACAGACCAGAATCCATTTTAAAATACTTAGTTTCCGAAATTGTCCAACAAACTCAAGAGTGCTAACCGCTGGGCTACAGTGGAGGTTCAAACATCAAAAAATATTTTGTACTGATTTTTTAATCGACACTGATAAGTTCAGAGACCCATTTGGCAAACTAAAATTTTATTGTGATATTTATTTATTGAATATAGACAACAAAACAGATAACAATCAAATTACAATAATAAGAACTAACATACGATATTACGAAGTTCTGCACCTGGGCGTCTACTCCCATACTCTGTCCGACATCCCATACTCTACCATATCAAAATACAATGTCAAATATGAAGCTTCAGTCAAATCATGTTTCTTTTAATTTAGTCGAGTAGGTATCACTTATTTGACAGTAATTAATAGCAAGCAGTAGCAGTAGAGCTCCTTGTGAAAGAGTTCGTCCAGGGAAGTACTGCCACATTACCTATTTCTGCCGTCAAGCAATAATGTGAACATTAATGTGTTCTGGTTTTGAAGGGTAAGGGTGCTTGTGAAATTGCAGATACATGTGACTTATCAACTTATGTCTCAGGGTGACGGGAGCAGTGGTAGTGCCCTTCAGATCTTTGCGATTTGAAATTCTGAATGGCACTGTAAATGATATGGACAGGCGTGTAGCTTATCTTCAGGCACACGGCTTGTTTGTCCCGTTAGTTGATATTATACAAAATATTTTAAAAAATTGTTTCGGTCGGATGTTGGACAAAAAGCGGAAGTTGACCCCCAGATTGTAATCCTACTTATGTTAAGACATCATTCTAAAGTAACAAGAAAAATCTAATGTTCATCATTTGCTAATAATTTACTTATTTGATGGCCTCCGTGGTCGAGTGGCTTGCATACCCGTTTTCATGGTGTCGCCATCTCTGAGGTCCTGGGTTCGATCCCCGGCCGGGTCAGTATAAAAAACTAACTTTTCTATATTGTCTCGGATCTGGGTGTTTGTGGTATCGTCGTTGCTTCCGATTTCCATAACACAAGTGCTTTAGCTACTTACTTCAGAGCAACGTATGTGATGTTGTCTAAATGGGTTTTGATTTTATGCCCTAGGTCATAATTTCTGAACTTGTATTTTTGTTTGTTGCAGCCTTGCTTCGAACCTCGATCCACGATTCGGCCTACATTACTAGACGCAAAGCCAGGCAAGGAGGAGAAAAGAAACCTCATCGCTAACATGGAACTACCAGACGATTAATATTAGCGTATATACAAACTAGTGTCATATCAGTAACAAAATAACAACTCTAATAACTGTTACCAATCTTGTAAACGTTAAAAGGTGTATTTTTTATAAGATGTCAGTTTTGAAATGCTATTTTCACATTAACTGATTTTTTTTATAAATTATTAAGATCGTGGGAGTAAAGGAATTAGACTTTAGGGATGTGAAAAATCTCTAAAACCTTTGAAGATTTTGACAGAACTTCAATGGCAAATGCCAATGCCCACGTGGATCAGCTAAATTAAAGTTGATCTCCCTCTATCGCAGGTACAAGAATACTATACCTTTCATATTTCCATATTATTTCTAATTACATTAGATGTTTTTGACTATGCTGACCTATTCCATAAACACTATAACTTGGGCCTTTTCAAGGTGAGAGTGAATAAGCTTAAATCACACTGTCCCGCAATCCCGCGCGGAGACGTTTTGTCAGTGTGTTGTACGGTCCGTGTTTTCTATGCAAACTGAAATACTTCGGTACAACGTTAAAAAACGCAGCTCCGCACACCGTTGCGTGTCGTGGGGCAATGTGATAATCGTCTTAAATAGGTGTTCATGCTCTATCGTCCTCATAATTACTTTACGTGGGTTAGAGATCACATAAGCACTTATTTTTTTATATAAAAAAGTAATGAAAGTTGGTATAAGCATCCTATCAAGTTAACTCAATAATTGTATAATTAAGTTATATATTTATTTCTCCAACATTTCACAAAGTTTCACGAATAAATTTTATATTATTTTAAGATGGATATAAATGTTCTGTCAGCCGTGATTTCAAAAAATGCGAGTCCACGCTGGGCATTGTCCTTTACTGTTTACTTGCCATTTCCCTCCAGGCAATGATATTTTATGTAGGATGTTTATTTACAAACTGACTAAGAATGATTTAAAAATATTACCTACTCCAAAAACTATGCACGTATTACACAATAGATTGGAAATAAATTGCTAGAGTTGTATAAAAATAATGTTTGGCAAAACACCCAAAGGTAAACTTGTGATATTCGATGTAGGTAAAACGACTTCCATTTTGAGATAAAATCCACGAAGTCGTAGTAGGGCTGTGGATGCTTAAAATCTGAGTGCAAGAGAACTAGATTTTAACACGTAGTTATAGTGGGTTTGTAGTGGAATTTACGAAGAAACAACAAAAATTTAAGTGCTATTTGGTAACACTTTCAGTACTTATTATAGTGACTATAATAATAAAAGAAATTGTGCCTTTTTCATACAAATAATAAATTGCTTTATTAAAAATTAAGTATTATAATTATACTTAAAATTATTTGCTTTACAGCTGAATGTTACTAAAGCGCGCTTCAATTTTTTTTTCCTCTTATCATCGTCATTGTAAGTGCCAAGTTTTATACCTAATTGGCTCGAAAGCATTTATACATAGAGTTTAAAGAAAAATATCTATAAAATATACCAATTTTGTAGACAAAGATTTATAGTAAAAAAACACTCGTTAGTGATGAGCGTTACCATATATAAGTTTTATTTTATTTAATAATTTTATTTGACATTGTATTTTTATTTAATTTCTTTAGTTTGGACTTGTTTTGCGAAAACGTTGGTACTTAGTGTAATTATTGCCCTTATTACTTTTTTTGTGGGAATGGGGAAGCTGTTCCATTACTGTGTTCAAACCATCAACTTCATTGTGTATGTACTTCCATTTTAAACTATAGGGAAAAGACTTGTTGACTATTTTTAACGTTTTTATCAGTGATAGGATGTCATTACAAAAATGTATGCAATGTACAAGCTTAATATCTTTGGTATGACTAATATTGGTTTCTTTTTGGAAAAGAAAGTGCCGTTTTCGGATCCAAATCGCTTATATTTGCTTGTTTTTGTTAAATTTGCTTTAATTTTGTACCGCAACAAGGTAATTGGTATCAATATTATCATCCGTCTCCTGACTAGCTGTTGTAACGGGTATTACGCAAATTTTTCATATCAATATATTTTTCATTACACTCGCTCGTAAATAGTATGATTGCATGGTGGGTAACTTGACTATAATGCCGAAAATAAAACCCTCGGACCCTTTTTCTTCCCATAACAGCCATGGTCGGTAAGGAGTTCTTTTTTAATTCGCTCTCTGCAAAAATATTCTCTAAACAGAAATTTAATTGCAATTCGAGCCACATACTACTTAAATACTTACTATTAACAATTTCTTATGATTGATTTTAATTAAATTCTGTATAAAAATTTTGCAATATTTTTTTTAATTGCAATCCATCATGGCTGTATACGTCTTTGCTTTTTATGGAAGAATAGGTAGTTAGCCATTTATTGATAAAAAGAAAACCCGCCATTTGCAAAACCCTCGCATCGCAACGTGTAGCATGGTTTAGAGGATGGAAAAGAGCATCATAGCACCATCGTGGCACTTAGCACTTGACATCTTCAGTTGCATCTCAAGGCAATTTCGTTCATGCAATGAGGTGATATAAATGAATGGCACTTAGTGAGGGCACGGACGATATGAAGTAACAAAAATGAAGCCAACGACAAAGAAATTAGCAGGACATTATTAAATATTTTATATATCGAATCACTCCAAAGATATCTAAGTGAATAAAACGAAATTCTCAGTGAATGAAAAAAGGTTGTTTACTTAATTTAATACCGAATGGTGCCTCAATCTATAAATAATTTATAAAACAGTTTAGTTTAGTAACTTTGTTCTTAAATTTTTTAGGTCATAAAAAGACAAATATCTTAGTCACCCGGTCTTACTTAATATTTGTTGATTTGTTAATAGAACGATATTTTAACGCAAAATTCACTTGCACAGTTACGTAACCCTACTAAATCAAGACTTAGTCGCTTAAGGTGGTATCATGTAAGATACCGATGATAATACAGGATTACTTATAAAATACTAACAACTATACGACTATTTATTAACATTATAAACAATAACCTTTGACCAATGGCTTTCAATAATTCATCAGACTTTACTTTCATCAAAAATAAATATATTTAAATACATCGCCTAAACGGTAATAAGTCTGTGTAGAACGAAGGTGGAAGTCGTCGCGGAGGACGCTTGCACGTTTTGGAACTTACCTTACTATCAAATCGACTGTGAACTGGCAACTGGTACTATCTCAATTTTTTGAACTTAAAGCTCAAAAAATTGAGATAGTACCGGTACAATGAAGAAAAAAAATGTTTGCGTCATTTATAAAATAAAAATACGTAGTATAAGTGTAATAAAAATATTTAAAAGCTACATATTTTTATTTAATAAATCAGATGCTATATAAATGACGCAAAAAAAATTTTTCTTCACCTGTAAGGTTGTCAGAATTGAGATAGTACCGATTGCCAGTTTACAGTCGAAATAAAGATCTAAAGAGTGTCAGATAGTACAACAAAGACTAAAAAGTTTATTTTTGGTAAATTTATTATGTTTTGTAAAAAGTCATGGAACAAAAATTGTTGCTTATGATGTTAGTAATATAGACCTGCGGGATTGTTAGTATTTTAAAAATAACTCAGTACTCGTAGGGATATTTAAAGGAACGTTAAAAAAAAGTTTAATTATGATAACAACGTTCACATGATCCATTCACATATACCACCTCTGATTACCGACGACCTCCGTGTTCAAGTGGCTTGCACGCCGGTTTTAATTGTGTCGCCTTCTCTGACGTCACAGGTTCAATCCCCGGCCGGCTCAATGTAGAAAAACTAACTTTTCAATATTGTCTCAGGGCCGAGTGTTTGTGGTACCGTCGTTGTTTTTGATTTCCATAACGCAAGTGCTTTAGTTACTTACTTTGGGATCAGAGCAACGTATGTGTTGTCTAATATCGATGCCTTACTTTCTCAAACTCGTACCTTATAAAGAGTGATTTATTAATAGGTAAATGCCAGTATGTGAAATCAGCCTGCAAAATTTGTATATATACAATCTATTTTTTGCATTTCAATAACTTTGTGCTTTAAGATACGAGTTTCAGAACGTAGGCGACATATGTATTTTATACCAGAACTGTCACTGTCACTGTGAACAGAACTTTCTGGTATGTGTGATCAGTGCATCTACCAACAGTTTATTGTTACAATTGTCGCTAGCGACCGCGTAAATTACTTCACAATTTCGTATGGCAAATTATACAGCGCCCCTAGCGGTCACAACAAGAAACAATATTTTATGTACAAACATTTGACGCGCTCGCTAGCGATTACTGTCACTGAAATTTCGTGGTAGAGGCACAGCAGCCCATATTATGAACATTGTCGTCATAATTCAACCGTTTTTAGCGTTCTACTAAATATCAGTGTAGTCTATGGGAACTTTAATAAGGCTTGAATGTTGTTCAAAAGTTATTTGTCTGTCTAGACCCAGGATATCAGGTCAGCTATACGGATTTAACATGATATCTTTAACAATCATAATACTAAAGTGAGACTGAGTTTTGTCTTAACTGACCCTTTATCTTGCACCGATAAGTTAAGAGGATTGCTAATCTCCATACTACAGAGCGTAACTCTGAAAAAGGTCAACATTCCGTCTTATATTTAGATGGCGTTGATCAATTGCTTGGAAGTAGTTTATGTCATGTAAACGGCCGTGGGTATCAATTAATTCCTCTTTAATAACAAACTTTAAGAAGTAATTGTTTTTTCCCTGTAATATTATTCAAATATTGACCGTGACTTAAAATTATTTTATGAACTTTGACAATTCGACCCGGACACGTTCCATTAAACAAATTTTTGTATTTGATGCCGGATGAACTCATCGAATTACGAAGTGTGTGGGATTCCTGAGGATCGATCATTTGCTAGTGGAGTGTGTTCGGACAGTCTGTCAGGGCGCGGTTATTTGCACAGGCTGGTTTGCGTACATTTAATGTTGGGTGGTTTCAGTCTGTTTTGTCGGAGCCAACATGTAGCGCCACGGAGATTTTGTATATATGTTTGGTTATGTAGTATTTTGACTTATCTGTCTGGATTTTATTGAAATATTGTTTTTCTAACAGGACTGACATGTTCAGTAACGACCAAAGTCCCTAAATAAATAAAGAGTAAAAAAAAACTGACAATTATGCGTGTCAATAAATGGCATTGTGTGTTACAAACTAATTTATAAACTAATACTTCCTAATATATTCATATTAGGAAGTTTTAGTTTATAAATTAGATGGCGCTAATCCTCAACAAAATAAAAGAATAGCCGTTACTATCCTTAAAAACTTGTTCAATAAGCGACATCTAGTTGAGTTGTTAGTTACCAATAGGTACTAAATACTACGCTGTCTTGTATCGCGATAAGCAATCCTCTTTAGTTATTAGTTCATGCCTATACTAAACAACCGTAGCTTAAGAATTAACGTTCCTATTTTGTAGTTAACTTAATTTATTTCAAAGGCTGCTCTACTTAAGATAAGTAAGTGGTCATTTTACCTATAAAATAGCGTAGAATCTCACTGTACTGAAATTGTACTTATTTGTTCCAAAACAAAGGATTTTTTTTATATAGTTCTGCCAGAGAAGTGAGAAAATTATTTATAATAACAGTAATAAATTGTGGAAAATCACGTCAAAACCACGGTTTATAGCGTTACTTTTTCAACAAGAGGCACTGTTAAAATACTTGAGTTTGAGTATACTGCCCCGATTCAGAAATATGTAGAAATGTTGAGGATCTATTTATGTACATACATAGATTTCAGAAACAATAAATAACTTATAGGAAATGAAACTATTTTTCCGGATTTAAATCGCGTAATTTGTTTTTACAAACCAACCAACGCTTCGGGCCCTTTACAGGCCCCATGGTCACGGTTGATTAAAAAAAGAAATAACTTAAAATTTCAAAAGATTTTATACAACAATATTGTATTTTCAATGCCACTAAAATCTCTATTATGAAAAAAACTTATAAAATGAAATGTTTTTCGAACCTATTACTACACGTTCCATTTTATCGATTGTATTCAAAACATAATCTGTAATATTTTTGTACAGCCAAGAGCACATCAAGCTTGACACTTTGTATTTGGACCGTTTTCTTATCGTAAGCGGCATAGAGTTGGATTTAAATCTTAAGTGTCAAGGGTATTATTATTAATTAACCCGTTATGTCCAACTGCTGGACAAAGGTCTCTCCCAAAATCCTCCGATCACCAAAGACGGAGCTTTGGCGATTTCCCATCACTCTCGTTCGAACCCATCAAGGTCGTCGTCAAGGGTATATTAAAAAAAAGCTTGACGTGC